TGCAACTTCTCTTCAGAATCTCCCAAAAGCACAGTGCCATCAGCAAAGAAGAACTGTGACAACTCCCACTTGGTGTCAGATTCTTTATCTTTTAACTCCATCCCTCTTGCCAACACCTGAGCATTCTCTTCTCTTACAACTCCATCTATAAATATATTGAACCACCATGGTGACATCACACATCCCTTACTAAAGCCTACATTCACTGGGAAATAATCTCCCTCTCTCCTACATACTCTAACCTTGGTCTCACTATCCTCACAAAAACTCTTCACTGCTTTCAGTAACCTACCTCCTATTCCATACATTTACAACATCTGCCACATTGCCCCCCTATCTGCCCTATCATACACTTTTTCCGAATTCATAAATGCCACAAAACCCTCTTTACCCTTATCTATATACTGTTCACCTATATGGTCTACACACCCTCTACCCTTCCTAAAGCCTTCTTGTTCATCTGCTATCCTGCTCTCCGTTGTACTCTTAATTCTTTCAATAATAGATCTATACATTTTACCAGGTATACTCATCAGACTTATTCCCTTATAATTTTTGCATACTCTTTTGTCTCCTTTGCCTTTATACAAAGGAACTATGCATGCTCTCTACCATTCTCTAGGTACCTTACCCTCTTCCATACATTTATTAAATAAAAGCAATAACCACTTCTAATCTATATCCCCACCTGCTTTTAACATTTCTATCTTTATCCCATCAATCCCAGCTGCCTTACCCCCCTTCATTCTACCCACTGCCTCAGGCACTTCCCCCATACTCACAACTGGCTCTTCCTCACCCCTACAAGATGTTATTCCTCCTTGTCCTATACACGAAATCACAGCTTCACTATCTTCATCAACATTAACAATTCTTCAAGTATTCCCTCCACCTTCCCGATACCTCTGACTTTCCATTTAATAACTCTCCTCTCCAATTATTAACTGTCAAATCCATTTGTTCCCTAGGCTTTCTCAATTTATTAATCTCACTCTAAAACTTATTCTTATTGTCAACAAAATTTGTTGATAACATCTCGCCTACTTTCTCATTTGCTCTCTTTTTACACTGCTTCACCACTCTCTTAACCTCTCTTTTTCTCTCCATATACTCCTTCCTCCTTACATCAATTCTGTCTTGTAAAAACCTCTTATATGCCAACTTTTTCTCTCTTTCTACTCTCTTTACATAATTCCACCAATTGCTCTTCTTCCCTCCCGCACCCACTTTCCTGTAACCACAGACTTCTGCTGAACACTCTTAACACTAAATTCTTAAATTTACCCTATACATCTTCTACCTCATTGCCTATACTCTCATTAGCCCATCTATCTTCTAATAGTTGTTAATATCTTATCCTAACTGCCTCCTCTAGTTTATAAATCTTCACCTCTTTCTCTTACTTGTTTCTTCCATTTTCCTTGTATCCCATTTACCTTTTACTTTCTCTGTAGCTACAACTTAAAAGTGATCTGATATATCTGTAGCCCTCTATAAACATGTACATCCTGAAGTTTACCCAAGAGTTTTTTATGTACCAGTATGTATTCCAACAAACTACAACCTCTCCTCACTTAGCGATGTAATCATTTACTGACGCCTCGGACTTATGAAGGGATCTCTGACCAGTATTCATACCTAAATAATGTATTAGAGCTTATTTTGTCTATTCTGTTTATTTCAATATACAGTACACTACTGTATAAAGATTTAAAAATATACCAGAAATGTTATAAATGGTGCAAAGGTGACATAAAAACGATATCAAAGATAGCTGACACAAACTCACTACAATTATACAGTGGACCCTCACATACCATTGGCATCACATAATGTTAAATCCGCATACCGATACATTTTATCACTAAAATTTTACCTCTCATACTGCTAAAAAACTCACTCAACGCTATTTGTCCGAGACGCGTCTAATGTGGGGCCCTGAGCCAGCCTCACATGTTCCGCCGGTGGCATTGTTTACAAGCCAGCCTCCGAGGTAACATCCAAGCATACAATCGGAACATTTTGTATTATTACAGCGTTTTTGGTGATTTCATCTGCAAAATAAGTGACCATGGGCCCCAAGAAAGCTTCTAGTGCTAACCCTGTGGTAAAACGGGTGAGAAATACTATCATACCACAGTCAGCTGCTGCTGCACCATGGTCAGCTGTTGTTGGACCAGTCAGCTGTTGCTGGATCATTCAGCTACTGCTGCTGCACCATGGTCAGCTGCTGTTGCACCACCATCAGCTGTTTCTGAACATGACTCGTCCCGAACCTGTCCATCCAGCCTGAGCGCCTGCCTTGCTGTCATTGTTTACAAGCCAGGGTGGCTGGTTGCATGCATACATTCGATACATTTTGTATTATTCCATTATTTATAGTGCTTGTAACTGCTAAATAAGTCACCATGGGCCCCAAGAAAGCTTCTAGGGCCAACGCTGTGGTAAAAAGGGTGATAAATACCATCGTACCAGTCAGCTGCTGCTGCACTACGGTCAGCTGTTACTGGACCAGTCAACTGTTGCTGCACCACAGCTGCTGCTGCACCATGGTCAGCTGTTGGTGCACTACAGCTGCTGCTACACCACAGCTGCTGCTGCACCATGGTCAGCTGTTGCTGCACCACAGCTGCTGCTGCACCATGGTCAGCTGTTGCTGCACCACAGTCAGCTGTTGTTGTTGCTGCACCACCATCAGCTGTATTACTCGAAGATGTGGAGAGTGTTGTTGGTGTGGCTTAACGTGAAACAATTACCAAGAAACGATTAACCCCGGAGGGTTAGCCACCCAGGATAACCCAAGAAAGTCAGTGCATCATCGAGGACTGTCTAACTTATTTCCATTGGGGTCCTTAATCTTGTCCCCCAGGATGCGACCCACAACAGTTGACTAACACCCAGGTGAACAGGAAAAAGTGCCTGGAACTAGTGCTCATATTAGTGAGGTTAGTGGGGAGGATGTGGAAGAGTTGGTGGAGGAGGACAATGAAGAACTAACCACTGATGAGCTGCTAGATCATCTTCAACAGGAAGAGGCCACACCTGAGGAAACTGCTCCGGAGGAGGGGATAGAGAAATTGAAGAAGTTGCCTACTTCAAAGATTAAGGAAATGTGTGCAATGTGGCTTAAAGTGCAAACCTTTTTTGATGAAAATCACCCTCACACAGCTATTGCAAGCCATGCTGGTGACTATTACATATTACACTGACAATGTTGTGAAACACTTTAGGAAAGTCATAAAGGAACGAGAGGTACAGGCCTCTATGGACAGATATGTTGTGCGACAGAGGTCCAGTGACTCTCAAGCTGGTCCTAGTGGCATTAAAAGAAGACTGGAAAAGGACTTGACACCTCAAGTCCTAATGGATGGGGATTCCCCTTCTAAACACTAAGACCATCAACACTCTCCTCCTCCCATCCCATCAATCATCACCAGATCTTCAATAAAGGTAAGTGTCATGTAACTGTGCATGTCTTCTTCAGTTTGTGTGTATTAAAATTAATATTTCATGTGGTAAATTTTTTTTTTTCATACTTTTGGGTGTCTTGCACTGATTAATTTGATTTCCATTATTTCTTATGGGGAAAATTAATTCGCATGACGATAATTTCGCATAACACTGAGCTCTCAGAAACGGATTAATAGCGCTATGCGAGGGTCCACTGTAGTGTGCTCGTCACGTAGTGACGAGTTCGTTTAATAATGTGGTCTTAGGAACACAACTCCGTTGTTAAGTGAGGAGGCTGTACTGTTATATCTTGTATACTTATTCTCTTTTCCTTAAAATATGTATTACCTATACAAAGTTCAATCGAAGGCTCCTCATTATCATTTACACCTGGCACCCCCAACTTACCTACCACACCCTCTCTGAACACTTCTCCTACTTTAGCATTCAGGTCCCCTACCACATTTACTCTCCCACTTGGTTCAAAAGTTTCTACACATTCGCTTAACATCTACCAAAATCTCTCCCTCTCTTTTCCAGGTGCATACACACTTATTATGACCCACTTTTTGCATCAGACCTTTAATTTAATCCACATAATCCTTGAGTTTATACATTCGCCCATTTAGACTGGGAACGTCAGAGGCTTTAGTACCATTTGGCTAATAACAGACGAGGGAAAACCACTGAGAATGCTGATAGTTGCACAATATCAGTTACCATTCGTAGAATCAAAGGTAACCTCAGGTAATACTTCAGCCCACAGACAGCTTATGGATGAACCATTTAGTGTGCCACCAGCTGATCCTCCAAAAGGTCTACCTAATGATTCAGTTTTTTTGGGTTAGCAGAAGCACAAAATGTAATATGACCCCTACCATAATTCTAAAATCTCTGCTATGTAAACCAAATAAACGAGGGTGGAAGGTTGGGGGTGGGTTCTTAACCCTTAAACTGTCCAAACAAATTTACGTTCACATGTGTAGTGCTCCAAAAGTAGATCAAAGTTTTTGTTACATGTTTTCAAATGCAAAAAAAAGAAAAGAAGATCTACATTTTTTTACATACTTTCAAATGTTGAAAAAAAGTAGATTTATGTTTGGACAGTTTAAGGGTTAATAAAGTCAAGCTGCCAAACTCTTGCCACATAGGTGACCCAACATCAGCAGGGTAGATTTAGTTACAATATTATTTCCACAATTCGTGATCAGTCTGTACCAAATAAGTGAGAGAGCTTCCAATCCTTCACACATGCATAAAATGAATATTAATATCAGAATAAAATGATTTGTAAAATAATTTGAAAAATAATGTTTGAATGTTCACATTTTTGGACCACTGTTTCTAAAAAAATCATTAGATCATATAGGTTCCATTTGTAAGCAGTGATGTTTGTAACTCGGTTGTTTTGAGGTTGGGGATCCTCTGTATGAAGTTTTAACAAATATTAAAATAAGTTTGTTAGGGATAATTTAAAATTGTTTTAGAGACCAAAATTTATCATTACTCTGTACATTATTTAATTCCATGAATCTGGTTCATAAATACAGGGAGCTCTGTGTTCGAGTTCTTCATTGAGGGAAGAGATAATGGGCGACCAGTCCTTCATTCAAATGTGGCAGTATTATTACGTATCGTGGATGTGGATGTCAGACCCCCAGAGTTTCTGTCTCGGATATACACTCTTACAGTCTCTGAGGACACACCACCAGGTTAGTGATTAGGTATTTTGCTTACAGTTAGAATCCTTTTAAATTTAAAATGAAATTATGAAATAAATATGATTTTTGTATGGTACAAAATTGCCATTTTTTTAATTTGTTGTATTTCACTTTTGAATATTTGAAAGCCTACTATAGTAGAATGATCCTTTCTTGAAAAAATTAAGTAATGTTTATAAATACTTTAATATGAGCACTCTAATTCCAGGCACTCACATTGGGTCAGTGGGTGCCCGTTATGATGGTGAATTAGAATACACAGTTGAGTGGGGAGGTCATGAAATATCTCCGCCAGTGTCTGTCTCATCGGAGGGCACACTGACCCTCACGTCTTTGCTCGATCGTGAAGATGTTCGACGACTCTCTCTTATAGTCACTGCTATGCCTGTTGACAAGCCTGAGCTAGCAGCAAGTACGAATGTAGTTATTGAAGTAAGTAACCGTTTTTCTTATAATTGCTGAACAGGAATTTCTAAATGCATAATGAATATATGTAAATTATTTTGAAGAATTTTGTGCATTTGCCAATTGTGTTTATGCAATTTAAATATTTTTTATTATACAGGTCAGAAGTATTATTGCATTTATTGGGAGCACTAAACCCGTAAGGGTTCATACAGTGCCTGAGGGAGTGGGAGGGGGGAATAGGAGGCATTTAGGTTCTATCCACTGAAGGGAAGCACAGGTCTAATTCCTTAAATTGAAAGCCTCTCACTGGCCTACCCCTTGAGAGGTAGGCTAAGAAGTAGATTCAATTCAATTCAATATAAGTTTATTCTCTATAAGGGTTACAATGTAGGGTTTACAGGTTTGGGTATTGTGTTGTATACATGTTATAAAATACTAATTACAGAGGGGGCCACTAGGACACCTAGCATGGCTAGGCATTTCGAGCAGACTTAGATTAATTCTTAACATTAAATCCTTACAGATTATGGTATTAAGGCTAAGTGACTACATAATTTGTGAGTTTAGCAATGTGAATGCTTTTGTTTTGGCACAATACAAAGTGTCTATATTGGAGTATTATAGGCAAACTTATGACTAGTTAGGATTTATTATTTTAAGATTAAGATTAGTATTTCTGGGTTTATAGTCAGTGGGTGAGTGAGTGTAATTGTGAACCACCAGGTGGTTATCATGTAGTTAGTTGTCGGGGTGTATCAGGGAGATAAGATGTTTTCTAACTGGAGTTTTGAAAGTGATGAATGTGTCTGCAGTTCTAGAGTTTTCAGGTAGGGTGTTCCAGATTTTAGGTCCTTTGAAATACATTGAGTTTTTGTAAAGGTTTAGTCGAACATGGGGAATATCATAGAGATGTTTGTGTCTGGTGTTATGCCTGTGGATCCTGTCACAACTATCAAGAAAGCATTTTAGGTCAAGGATAATATTGGAATTTAAGGTCCTGTAGATATAGATTGCACAGTAGTAAGTGTGGATGTTCTGAACAGGGAGTAAGTTTAGATCTATGAAGAGTGGGGGGGTGTGTTGCCAGGGATGGGGTTTAGTGATTATTCTTACTGTGACTTTTTGTTGGGCTATTATTGGCTTTAGGTGTGTTGCTGCAGTTGAACCCCAAGCACAGATAGCATAGGTGAGGTATGGATATATAAGTGAATGGTATAGTGTGAGAAGGGCAGTTTGCGGCACGGAGTATCGTACCTTGGAGAGGATCCCCACCGTTTTGGATACTTTTTTTGTTATGTATTGGATATGGGTGCTGAAATTTAGGTTGTTGTCGAGGTATAGGCCAAGGAATTTGCCCTCATTATGTCTGGCAATAAGAGTGTTGTCGATCTTAATGTTAAGTTGCGCAACACCTGCTCTGCTACCAAACATAATATAGTAGGTTTTGCCAGTGTTAAGTGTAAGTTTATTGGCTGTCATCCAAGTTGATATTTTGAGCAACTCCTCGTTAACAATGGTGTTGAGGGTGGCAAGATTAGGGTGGGAGATGACATAAGTCGTGTCGTCAGCAAAGAGAATGGTTTCAGGTGTTGGGATATGTTTGGAAGATCATTGATGTAAATGAGGAAGAGCAGGGGTCCAAGGACACTTCCCTGTGGAACTCCAGTATCAAGTGGCCGTATTGATGAGGCTGTGTCTTTAATGGTGACATTCTGATACCTATTAGAAAGGTAGGATTTAAAATATGCAAGCGCATGGCCTCTTATACCATAGTGGTCAAGTTTGTGGAGTAGGATGTCGTGGTCTACTGTGTCAAACGCTTTTCTTAGGTCAATAAAAATTCCTAGCGGATATTCCTTATTTTCCAATGCTGTGTAAAGCAGGTCTAGCATTTTTATAATTGCATCAGATGAGGTGGGCAGGCAGCAAAACTGGCATCTGGTGTTGATCCTGGGAGTCACTGCTTCTATATATTTATCATAATTGAAGATCCTTGAAGCCTTGATATTTATAGAATTATTTAGTAGCACACTTTTTGTACCTTTGCATTTCATTAGAGCTAATTTTTACATTCTCGTGTGCTTCCTACTCTTATAATCATTTCAGTAGGCAGATTTTAACTAGTCTTTTTAGTATTTTCCAAGTGCAAATTCTAACAAATACTTCTTGCTTGGAATTCAGGGTATACAATTTCAGGACTAAGTTGCTCAGTAGTTTAGATGTTGAAGATTAAATGGCACTGTAAATGTACAGTAGTGTTCTTCATTTTCAGATTGATTTTTTTTATAATTCTGTGGTAGGTAGTTAGTAGTGAAAAATTTTGACTTGCATGGCTGGCTAGTTTACTTGGTATACTAAATTTGAGTGATGTTAGTAATGTATATAGAATTTTGTCTGGTTAGATGCAGAGACATGCTATGAATACAAAGGCTGTGAATGATAGCCAAAGATGCTTGGGCAGATACATGGTGCCACCTTGAACTTAATAGTCATGTTTAGTGATGATCCTTGAGATCCAAAATGGGACAATTTTTTTCCCATTGCTACACAGGGAAGATCTATAAGAGATGTCCACTCCACCACTCCCTCCTGAATTAGCTTAATGATAACATAAGACAGGTGAGTAAATGAAGATGCAGGAAGAATCAAGAAGAATGAAGACCAATTCAACAAAATGGGAAAGTCCCATTGGAAGAATAACTGTACCCTTTCCTGTGGAATAGAAAGTGTGAAGGTATCATTCTGAGATATATATTGACTGGTAGAGAGCAAGTCTAGTTAAGGGAAGAAAAGCCACTGATAGCCCAGAAAAAAGAAGACAAGTAGTAAAATAGGGCCTCCTTCAAAGACCTCAAAAGCCAGGTGTCCTGATGACAGCACCTGGACACTTGCAATTTCTAAGTGGCAAATATAAAAGGCTATAACTGACAAGAGAGATGGCTAATTCCAGTCAAATGCATTAGAAAAGGCAGCTATTGACACCACACTGTCAATAAGCAAGTCATCTCACATTAAGCGCTAGTAGTGGCTGTATATGTGAATGAGTCATCTTAGCCTGAGTAATCAGGACATGCCTTATTGTGAAAGACAGCCACAATAGAACATTATTCCAGACTGTAGAACTGAACTTTTCTCTAGGCTGAGGGACTGACTACTTGTAAACTACTTTTTTAAGGTTGATGGACTGATCACATCATCTTTATATCTCCACTGCTTTTATTATCTATTCTGTATTTGACTGAAGAAACCTACTGTGTAGACGAAAGTAGTAGGTTGGTAGACAGCAAACACCCAGGGAGGTACTACCGTCCTGCCAGGTGAGTGTAAAACGAAAGCCTGTAATTGTTTTATGTAATGGTAGGATTGCTGGTGTCTTTTTTCCGTCTCATAAACATGAAAGATTTCAGGTACATCTTGCTACTTCTACTTATGCATTGGTCACACTACACATACATATACACGTTTATGTATAAACACTCACATGAGTTTTCTTTGATTTTATCTTAATAGTTCTTGTTCTTATTGCTTGTCCTTTTATATCCATGGGGAAGTGGAATAAGAATTTTTCCTCCGTAAGCCATGCGTGTTGTAAAAGTCAACTGAAATGCCATGAACAATGGACTAGTAACCCCTTTTCCTGTATAGCCTACTAAAAAGAAAAAGAAGAAAACCATCAAAGTGGGATGCTTGAATGTGCGTGGATGTTGTGCGAATGATAAGAAAGAGACGATTGTGGATGTTATGAATGAGAAGAAGCTGGATGTCCTGGCTTTAAGTGAAACAAAGTTGAAGGGGATGGGAGAGTTTCAGTGGGGAGAAATAAATGGGATTGGGTCAGGGGTTTCAAATAGAGTTAGAGCTACAGGAGTAGCAATAATGTTGAAAGATAAGTTATGGCAGGAAAAGAAGGAATATAAATGTATAAATTCAAGGATTATGTGGAGTAAAATAAGGGATGTGAAAAGTGGGTTAAGGTAAGTATTTATTCACCTGGAGAAGAGAGAAGTGTAGAGGAGAGAAATTTTGGGAAATGTTGAGTGAGTGCATGGGGAGTATTGAAGCAAGTGTGAGAGTACTTGTAGTTGGGGATTTCAATGCTGAAGTGGGTAAAAATGTTGTGGAGGGAGTAGTAGGTAAATTTTGGGGGCTAGGGGTAAATGAAAATGGGGAGCCTTTAATTGAGCTCTGTGTAGGAAGAGGTTTGGTAATAAGTAATATATATTTTATGAAAAGAGGATAAATAAGTATACAAGGTATGATATAGCACATAATGAAAGTAGTTTGTTAGATTATGTATTGGTGGATAAAAGGTTGATGGGTAGGCTTCAGGATGTACATGTTTATAAAGGAACAATGGATATATCAGATTATTATTTAGTTGTAGCTACAGTTAGAGTAAGAGGTAGATGGGACAAAAGGAAAATGGCAAGAACAAGAAAGAGAGAAGTATAGGTGTATAAACTAAGGGAGGAGGAAGTTAGGGTTAGATAAAAACAACTATTGGCAGAAAGATGGGCTAGTGCAAGTATGAGTAGTTGGGGGTTGAAGAGGGTTGGAATAGTTTTAAAATGCAGTATTAGAATGTGGGGCAGAAGTTTGTGGCTATAGGAGGGTGGGGGCAGGAGGAAAGAGGAGTGATTGGTGGAATGATGAAGTAAAGGGTGTGATAAAAGAGAAAAAGGTAGCTTATTAGAGGTTTTTACAAAGTAGAAGTGTTATAAGAAGAGCAGAGTATATGGAGAATGAAAGAAAGGTGAAGAGAGTGGTGAGAGAGTGCAAAAGGAGAGCAGATGATAGAGTGGGAGAGGCACTCTCAAGAAATTTTGATGAAAATAAGAAAAAAATTTGGAGTAAGATAAACAAGTTAAGAAAGCCTAGGGAACGAATGGATTTGTCAGTTAAAAACAGAGTAGGGGAGTTAGTAGATGGAGAGCTGGAGGTATTGGGTAGATGGCTGGAATATTTTGAGGAACTTTTAAATGTCAATGAAGAAAGGGAGGCGGTAATTTCATGCACTGGACAGGGAGGTATAACATCTTTTAGAAGTGAAGAAGAGCAGGATGTCAGTGTGGGGGAGGTGCATGAGGCATTATGTAAAATGAAAAGGGGTAAAACAGTTGGAACTGACCGGATCATGACAGAAATGTTAAAAGCAGGGGGGGTTATAGTGTTGGAGTGGTTGGTATTTTTGTTTAATAAATGTATGAAAGAGGGGAAGGTACCTAGGGATTGGCAGAGAGCATGTATACTTCCTTTATATAAAGGGAAGGGGGACAAAAGAGATTGTAAAAATTATAGGGGAATAAGTTTACTGAGCATACCAGGAAAAGTGTATGGTAGAGTTATTATTGAAAGGATTAGAGTTAAGATAGAGAGTAGGATTTCAGATGAGCAAGGAGGCTTTAGAGTGGGTAGGGGATGTGTAGATCAAGTGTTTACATTGAAGCATATATGTGAACAGTATTTAGATAAAGGCAGGGAAGTTTTCATTGCATTTATGAATTTAGAAAAGGCATTTAACCCTTTGAGGGTCGACAGGCCCTCTCCGAAACTCGTTCTCAGGGTCGGCCAAATTTAAAAAAAAAAAAAAATTATTTTCTCTTATGAAAAGATAGAGAATCTTTTCCCGATCATAAAGACACCAAAAGTTTGAAATTTGATAGAAAACTTACGGAATTATGCTCTCGCAAAGTTAGCGGTCTCGGCGATGTTTACGCATCGGCGTTTTTGCCCACTTTGAGCCCCATTTTCGGCCAATTTCACTGTACTAGTCGACAAAAAACATGAATATTTCGCTAGAACTCCATTTTTTCTATCGAATGGGTGCAAGAAACCACCCATTTATGAAATTCAACTATCCAGTACAGTGGTCAGAATTTAGCAATTTTGCCAATTTCACACAAATTTCAAAAGATGCCAATTTCCGAATAGGGTCCAGAATAAACAAGAAAGACATTCCTGGCACTAAAATGACATTTCCTCTAGTCATTAGTCACGTCTCAAGGCCCCTCTTATATTCTTTTGCTTTCCACTTTGAATTTTTATTTTCACAAAAAATATAAGATTTACTGTTATGCAGACTACTGCATTAGTGTAAAAAATGGTATAAATATTATTGGTGCACTTGTGAAAGAATATTAGACTCACCAGTTGACGTGTATTGCACGCTTGACACGATTTGTTTACTTTTGAAGTTTGGTAAAAATCGAACATTTCTGCTACTTTGAGCTCAATTTCAAGGCACCTTTCATTGTAAAACCCAGTCAAAATCATCTCAATTTCTGTAATATGTCTTCCATTCTATAAAATGAGACCAAGAAAACTAGAATACAACAATAAATACCATACGAAAATACACTGCAAAGTCGCTGATTTATTAAAAAAAAATGGTCAAAGTTTTTTTTTTCTCATTATGCACTGTGTGCTGCAGGATTTTTTTTAGACTGTGCACACTGACCACATAGACCCATTCTTTCATATGAAGGCCTACCAGCTTTCTCCCACTAGATTTGAGGCCGCTAGAATTTATGAGTACTAGTACGTCAGAAACCCCTACGCGTAAGACGTACTAGTACGACCAAAACCCTCAAAGGGTTAATAGACTGGATAGGGGAGCAATGTGGCAGATGTTGGAAGTATATGGAATAGGTAATAAGTTACTAAATACTGTAAAGAGTTTTTATGAGGACAGTGAGGCTCAGGTTAGGGTGTGTAGAAGAGAGGGAGACTACTTCCTGGTAAAAGTAGGTCTTAGACAGGGATGTGTAATGTCACCATGGTTGTTTAATATATTTATAGATAGAATTGTAAAAGAAGTAAATGCTAGGGTGTTGGAGAGAGGGGTGAGATTAAATTATGGGGAATCAGATACAAAATGGGAGTTGACAGTTACTTTTTGCTGATGATACTGTGCTTATGAGAGATTCTAAAGAAAAGTTGCAAAAGTTAGTGGACGAGTTTGGGAGGGTGTGTAAAGGTAGAAAGTTGATAGTGAACATAGATCAGAGTAAAATGATGAGAGTATCAAATGATTTAGATAAAGAAAAATTTGATATCTCATTGGAGAGAGGGATTATGGAAGAAGTGAATGTTTTCAGATATTTGGGAGTTGACGTGTCAGTGGATGGGTTTATGAAGGATGAGCTTAACCATAGAATTGATGAAGAAAAAAGGGTGAGTGGTGTGTTGAGGTATATGTGGAGACAAAAAAATGTTATCTATGGAGGCAAAGAAGAGAATGTATGAAAGTATAGTGGCACCAACTCTCTTATGTGAGTGTGAAGCTTGGGCTGTAAATGCTGCAGCAAGGTGGTGGTTAGAGGCAGTGGAGATGTCCTGTCTAAGGGCAATGTGTGATGTAAATATTATGCAGAAAATTCGGAGTGTGGAAATTAGGAGGTGTGGAGTTAATAAAAATATTAGTCAGAAGGCTGAAGATGGGTTGTTGAGAGAATGGATCAAGGTAGAATGACATGGAGAGCGTATAAATCTGTAGGGGAAAAAAGGTGGGGTAACTGTTGGTTATTGTCACTTAGGTCGTCCTTGAAAAGGTTGGAGGGAGAGGGTAAAGGAGGTTTTGTGGGCAAGGGGCTTGGACTTCCAGCAAGCTTGCATGAGTGTTTTAGATAGGAGTGAATGGAGGCAAATGATTTTTGGGACCTGACGAGCTGTTGGAGTGTGAGCAGGGTAATAGTATTTAGTGAAGGGATTCAGGGAAACCAGTTATATTTTTTATATAACCAGACTTGAGTACTGGAAATGGGAAGTAGTACAATGCTTGCACCTTAAAGGAGGGGTGTGGGATATTGACAGTTTGGAGGGATATGTTGTATATCTTTATACATGTATATGCTTCTAAACTGTTGTATCTGGGCACCTCTGCAAAAACAGTGATTATGTATGAGTGAGGTGAAAAGTGTTGAATGATGATGAAAGTATTTTCTTTTTGGAGATTTTCTTTTTGGATCGCCCTGCCTCGGTGGGAAACGGCCGACTTGTTAAAAAAAAAAAATATGTTTTTCTTTGTACATAGTAATTTTTGTTCTTATTTTTATATTTTATTATCACACCGGCCGATTCCCACCAAGGCAGGGTGGCCCGAAAAAGAAAAACTTTCACCATCATTCACTCCATCACTGTCTTGCCAGAAGGGTGCTTTACACTACAGTTTTTAAACTGCAACATTAACACCCCTCCTTCAGAGTGCAGGCACTGTACTTCCCATCTCCAGGACTCAAGTCCGGCCTGCCGGTTTCCCTGAATCCCTTCATAAATGTTACTTTGCTCACACTCCAACAGCACGTCAAGTATTAAAAACCATTTGTCTCCATTCACTCCTATCAAACACGCTCACGCATGCCTGCTGGAAGTCCAAGCCCCTCGCACACAAAACCTCCTTTACCCCCCCTCCAACCCTTCCTAGGCTGACCCCTACCCCGCCTTCCTTCCACTACAGACTGATACACTCTTGAAGTCATTTTTGTTTCGCTCCATTCTCTCTACATGTCCGAACCACCTCAACAACCCTTCCTCAGCCCTCTGGACAACAGTTTTGGTAATCCCGCACCCCCTCCTAACTTCCAAACTACGAATTCTCTGCATTATATTCACACCACACATTGCCCTCAGACATGACATCTCCACTGCCTCCAGCCTTCTCCTCGCTGCAACATTCATCACCCACGCTTCACACCCATATAAGAGCGTTGGTAAAACTATACTCTCATACATTCCCCTCTTTGCCTCCAAGGACAAAGTTCTTTGTCTCCACAGACTCCTAAGTGCACCACTCACTCTTTTTCCCTCATCAATTCTATGATTCACCTCATCTTTCATAGACCCATCTGCTGACACGTCCACTCCCAAATATCTATTTGTTCTATTTGTATAAATAAATCATGCCTTGCTAATACTCAGTTACTTTTGTCTCACTGGGCATTCTAAATGTAACTATTATTTCTAGTTTACAAGCGCCCAGGGAGGTACTACCGTCCTGCCAAGTGAGTGTACAACGAAAACCTGTAATTGTTTTACATGATGGTAGGATTGCTGGTGTCTTTTGTCTGTCTCATAAACATGCAAGATTTCAGGTATGTCTTGCTACTTCTACTTGTACTTAGGTCATACTACACATACATGTACAAGCATATATATACACACCTCTCTGGGTATTCTTATAGTTCTTGTTCTTGTTTATTTCCTCTTATCTCCATGGGGAAGTGGAACAGAATTCTTCCTCCGTAAGCCATGCGTGTTGTAAGAGGTGACTAAAATGCCAGGAGCAAGGGAGGGGCTAGTAACCCCTTCTCCCATATAAATTACTAAATTTAAAAGAAAAACTTTCATTTTTCTTTTTGGGCCACCCTGCCTTGGTGGGATATGGCTGGTGTGTTGAAAGAAAGAATTTCTAGTTTATGTCCTGCCCAATGCTAAGTATAATATTTGTTTTGGAAAATGTTATGTGCATTATGCCTACATTGTTCCCTTTCCTGTATATTTTCTTTTAACTTTTTGAAGATTGGTATTTAATCTTTTGAGTATGTGACTGTTATAAAGCAGGAGAGTGAGGTAATAGAAAGAAAAAGGTTTCTGATATCTTTTGATCATGAAAATTTAATATGAGTGACTTTTTCAGGTCCAAGATGTTAATGATGAGTCACCAACATTTGAAAGTGAGAAGTACTATGTGTCGGTAGCAGAAAACACACCGTCTGGATCAAATGTTGTTAAAGGTATCGATAAATGAAGTCACTGTAATGTTGCTTTCTTCCTCTGACATTGAAAGTTTATTGCTCTAGGGATATGGTATAAAAAATGACTCTTGATTAGGGTCTCCAGAGATGACACCTTCTATTAGGTACTCAATTAGACAAGGTGTTGCAACAGACATTACTAAGGTCACCTGATAGGGTGACAGTTATAATAAGGTTTTAATTTTAGAACAGTTTTAATTTTACAGTGCTGATTAGTTGTTACATTTGGTACTTTTTCTCTTCAATAATAGTCCATGTGAATTGTTAACAATAATGTGTGTGTGTGAGGTATGGGTTTTGAATGTTTCAGCAAGGAGGAAAGTGGAGGCAGTGAGGATATCATATTTGAGTCCAACACGTGGTGTGAGTATTGTGTGGAAAATTCAGAGCTTAGAAATTAAAAGATGATATTGAGTCACTAAGGGTATAATTTAGTGTTGAGGAAGGGTTGTTCAGGTGGTTTGGACAGGTTGTTGGGGTGGTTTGGGCATGTAGAGGATGGATAGGGATAGACTGACGAAGAGAGTGCATAAATCTGGGGTGGAAGGTAGGAGGGGTAGGGTTCATCCCAGGAGCAGTTGAAAGGATAAAGTAAAGGCATCTTGAGTTTTAGGAGGTGAGCATCCATCAAGCTTGTGTGACTATGTTAGATAGGAGTGAATGAAGAAAAGTTTTTTGTTTTAGCAGATGTGATGTTGTAATACTTATTCAGGAAAAGTGGTTAGCTGGGCTTGAATCAGGAGGTGGGAAATACAGTGCCTGCACTCTGAAGGAGAGGGTGGGGATGTTGCAGTTGAATCTGAATTGTTGTCAGTACACTTCTGGCAAAATAGTTGTGGAATAAATGATGGTGAATTTTTTTTTTTTAATGCTTCTTTGGTGAGAGATGGTTATTGAGTTAAAAAAATTGTATTAGTGCACATTGTGCTCACAACTCTTTGGTACTTTACAGTTATTGACTTTTATTTCTCAAGCATATTACTTCTATCCACGTGCATAAAAATTCCAAATAGCTTGACTTATTACTAAGCCAATACTTTCTTTATATTCCTTAACTACATATCTTTGCTCGAATTATACTATTGTCATTCTTTTTGGTGCTTGGATATTGTTGGTTTTTGAGTATCATTTTATAGTCAAAGTGAAGACAATTTTTATATACCCCTTGAAAATTTTATCCAGCCTAAGACCTTTAACATTTAAACAAAAGGAATGCTTTCATATTTTTCATTTTTATCTATCATTTACTAATAAAATTGTTCTAAAAATTCTACAGTGTTTGCTAATGATCGTGATGCAGGAAGCAACTCTGAGATCCGTTATATATTGGAAGAGCAATCACCACTTGTTGAGGAGCCTCTCTTTACTCTTGATCCTTATTCAGGGTGGCTTTCTCTAAATCAAGAACTAGATGCTGAGACAAAATCCAAATATGAATTAAAGGTAAGGTGAAGGAATGTGATTAATTTTCATTAATAATATAAAAAATTATTTGAATTGGGGGGTTAATGAATGTTGAATGCAAGATGCACTGTTTGTAAATGCCTCTTTTGTAATTTTATTCATTTTATTTTTTTATTTGTATACAGTAACTCCAATGAGATTGAGTTTTAAAGAGCACTATACTGTACAATGCTACATATTGTATGAAATTATTATATGAAACAAATCTTGTTCCTCTTAGGTTCTTGCCAGGGACAATGGCAGTCCACAAAAAAACTCAACCACAAGTATTATAATTGAGGTCATTGACTATAATGACAATGCTCCACAATTTGTTAAGAAGAGCTATCATGCTGCAGGTAAGTCTCATCATTTTGGTAGTAAACATGATGTACTAATCATATACTGTTTCATATATTTTTTGTTTACAAGACTTCTATACAATTTTATATTAAATTCTTCTACATATATTGTAAATGTTCTCCACTTCCTTGGCTTGACCCTGACTGCATCCATTTTCCCATGTGCTGTATGACCATTATGGGTTTAGTGCTTTACCGTGAATGTAATAATTACAGTGGAAGCTTGGATTTTGTATGCTCTAGTTTGTATGTAAAACTATAGTTATTCTCTATAAAATGTATTTTTTGCTAATATTTCCCATAAGAAATAATGTAAATCCAATTAATCCATTCTAGACACCCAAAAATATTAACAAAAAATATATTTTATAGAGAATAACTATAGTTTTACATACAAACTAGGGCATAAGAAAACCGAATTTCCACTGTATATGCATTATTAGTGAAGTGATTGTTTTCTTTAGTACCTTTTTGATATAATATATTTGCTTTTTTTTCCAGTCAAGGAGAATGCTCTTCCTGGAACAGTTGTGGTGCAGCTAGAAGTTATTGATGTTGACCTGGGAGGAGGAGCCTTGGATGGGGAAGTGGGACAAGGCATAGTGTATTATCTCACATCCGGCAACGCCTTTCAGCATTTTCATGTCCGAAGTGGTGGACAGATATATGTCGCTAAAACCCTTGATCGGGAGTCTGTGGACCACTATACCTTAGAAGTTACTGCAACTGATGGTGTCTTTGTGGCAAAATCTTGGGTCTACATTGAAATTTTGGATGTTAATGGTAATTATTTATGTATAGTAAATTTGCTGTCACTATCAGTTATTTATCACTCAGAATCCACCCATGACTTAATTATAATTAATATAATTGATCAGAGTAATTACCTTCACTCAGGTTGTAGGTTAATCATTGTACTGGTTTACCACTATATAAAAATCAATAAATGAATCACTTTCCTTTGCAATATTATTTTATTATAATAAAGGGATAAATTATAATAAATGGGGAACTGTTGACTGAGGAAGGTGAGGATTAGAAAAGCTATTTCCTGAACACTTCGGCTAGTACAGTAATCTACCCTTATGTTACTTATATTCAGTAAAGTAATTCAGTCATAGTGACAAATAACCCTATACAGAAATACTATAAAATAAAATGAATAAAATGGAGCAATGTTACTGGGGAAAGTGTTTTGTGATGACACCTATTACCAAACTTTTTTCCATACAAAGTTCATTTACAGGCTCCCAGTGTCATTTATCCTTGTAACCATAAACTTATCTATTATGCCCTTTATAACAGTTTCTCCCACTAGCATTTAGGTTTCCCATAACAATTAGTTTCTCATTGGTTCAGAAACCCTAAATACAGTGGAGCTCCGAATGCGACCAATTATGTAAGTGCGTTTGTACGTGTATGTTTGGGGGTCTGAAATGGACTAATCTACTTCACAATATTCCTTATGGGAACAAATTCGGTCAGTACTGGCACCTGAACATACTTCTGGAGTGAAAAAATATCGTTAACCGGGGGTCCACTGTACTCATTTAACATCTCCCCGAATCTCTCTTTCTCTCTACTTTATCTTCTTCTCTTTCCCAGGTGCATAAACACTTAATATAACTTAATTTGTGCATCCCACCCTTATTTTAATCCACATAGTTTTTGAATTTATACATATATATTCCCTCTTTTTCTTCTAAAACTGACCCTGCAACATTACCTCTACTTGTCTCAGATACACCTGACCTAATCCCCTTTATTTCTCCCCACTGAAAATCTATCCCCTTCAACTTTGCTAAGATTAGAGCTAGGACATTCAACTTTCTTTTCATTTATAATATTCACAATTAATTCTATCATCTGTACTCAATCTATGCGCATTCAAACATCCCATCTTTAAAATTTTCTTTTTAACCCGTAAACGGTCCAAACGTATATATATGTGTTTTCAACATTTGAAAGTATGCAAAAAAGTAGATCTTTTTTTTTTTTTTTTACATTTGAAAATGTGGTTACTTCCCTTCTTTGTCTTTTAACCCTTTGGGGGTCGGCCAAATTTCAAAAAAAAAAAAATTATTTTTTCTTATGAAAAAATATTTTTTACCATCAATACTTACCGAGATATGGAGGCGTGAAGTTTGCAAAAAGTGAACAAAATCTGTGAGACCAATATGATCAGTATTTTGTAAGTTATTTCTTTTTCAATACAGTGGACCCTCGACCAACGATATTAATCCGTTCCTGAGAGCTCATCGTTAATTGAAATTATCGTTAGTCGAGTTAATTTTTCCCATAAGAAATAATGGAAATCAAATTAATCCGTTCCTGACGCCCCAAAGTATTGAAAAAAAAAAATTAACCACATGAAATATTAATTTTAATACACACAAACTGAAGAAGACATGCACAGTTACATGACACTAACCTTTATTAAAGATCTGGTGATGATTGATGGGATGGGAGGAGGGGAGAGTGTTGATGGTGTTAGTGTTTAGAAGGGGAATCCCCTTCCATTAGGACTTGAGGTGGCAAGTCCTTTTCCGGGGTTACTTCCCTTCTTCTTTTAATGCCATTAGGACCAGCTTGAGAGTCACTGGACCTCTGTTGCACAACATATCTGTCCATAGAGGCCTGTACCTCCCGTTCCTTTATGACATTCCTAAAGTGTTTCACAACATTGTCAGTGTACAGGTTGCCAACATGGCTTGCAGTAGCTGTGTCAGGGTGATTTTCATCCAAAAAGGTTTGCACTTTAAGCCACATTGCACATATTTCCTTAATCTTTGAAGTAGGCAACTTCTTCAATTTCTCTATCCCCTCCTCCGAAGCAGTTTCCTCAGGTGTGGCCTCTTGCTGTTGAAGATGATCTTGCAGCTCATCCGTGGTTAGTTCTTCATTGTCCTCCTCCACCAACTCTTCCACATCCTCCCCACTAACCTCCAACCCCAAGGACTTCCCCAATGCTACAATGGATTCCTCAACTGGCATAGGATTCCCAGGGTTAGCCTCAAACCCTTCAAAATCCCTTTTGTCTACACATTCTGGCCACAGTTTTTTCCAGGCAGAGTTCAAGGTCCTCTTAGTCACTTCGTCCCAAGCCTTACCTATAATGTTTACACAATTGAGGATGCTAAAGTGATCTCTCCAAAACTCTCTTAGAGTCAATTGAGTTTCTGAGGTCATTACAAAGCACCTTTCAAACATAGCTTTTGTGTACAGTTTCTTGAAGTTTGCAATGACCTGCAGGAGAGGAGTGGTATTAGGAGGCAAAAACTTCACCTTAATGAAGCTCATGTCCACAGAAAGTTGCTCTGCCAAGTCTGAAGGATGACCAGGAGCATTGTCTAATACCAGGAGGCACTTAAGGTCCAATTTATTTTCCAGGAGGTAATTTTTCAGTGGGGGCAAATGCATAGTGTAACCAGTCATAGTAAAAGTCCCTAGTGACCCATGCCTTACTGTTTGCCCTCCACAGCACACTCAAATTAGCCTTGAGGACTTTGTTTTTCCTGAACACTCTGGGAGTTTCAGAGTGATACACCAATAAAGGCTTCACTTTGCAATCACCACTAGCATTGGCACACATCAACAGAGTAAGCCTGTCTTTCATGGGCTTATGTACTGGGAGTGCCTTTTCCTCCTGAGTAATGTAGGTCCTGCTTGGCATTTTCTTCCAAAACAGGCCTGTTTCGTCACAATTAAACACTTGTTCAGGTTTCAGTCCTTCACTGTCTATGTACTCCTTGAATTCCTGCACATATTTTTCAGCCGCTTTGTGGTCCGAACTGGCAGCCTCACCATGCCTTATCACACTATGTATGCCACTACGATTCTTAAATCTCTCAAACCAACCTCTGCTGGCCTTAAATTCACTCACATCACCACTAGTTGCTGGCATTTTTCTAATTAAATCATCATGCAACTTCCTAGCCTTTTCACATTTGATCACTTGAGAGATGCTATCTCCTGCTATCTGTTTTTCGTTTATCCACACCAGTAACAGTCTCTCAACATCTTCTATCACTTGCGATCTGAGTTTTGAAAACATAGTTGCACCTTTGGCAAGAACAGCTTCCTTGATTGCCGTTTTCTTGGCCACAATAGTACCGATGGTTGATTGGGGTTTTGTGTACAACCTGGCCAGCTCGGAGACACACACTCCACTTTCATACTTAGCAATGATCTCTTTCTTCATATCCATAGTAATTCTCACCCTTTTTGCTGTAGGGTTGGCACTAGAAGCTTTCTTGGGGCCCATGGTGACTTATTTTGCAGGTGCAATCACTACAAACGCTGTGATAATGTGAAATGTTCCGATTGTATGTTTGGATGGGACTGCGGTGGCTGGCTGGCTTGTAAACACTGGCACCCACGGGACACGTGAGGCTCGCTCAGGCCACAAGTGGACGCGTCTCGAATGGAACGAATAGTGTTGGTCGGGTTTTTTAGCGCTAGTCGAGGCAAAATTTTTGCGTTAAAATGTATCGCTAGTTGGATTTAACGTTAGACAATGCCAGCGTTGGTCGAACTATGGTGCACACTTTGAAATTTGGCCTCTGGACCCTGAAAGGGTTAACAAATGATAAAGAAAAATCCTTGTGGACACCCAGATCCTTCACTGATCCCACAGGGCTGCAAACTGACAGTACAACAAAGACCCCAGATTCTCCAGCCTATATTCCCCAAAGATTTCCCCAGATAATCTTACCCTCATTTAGTTCAAATTTTCTATTTATCCAAGTCCAAAAATCCTGCAGAAGAGAACTAAAATTGAGTTTTGTGTCTTCCACATTCAAAACCCAGATGTAGACCTGTTCACTTTCAGTATAAAAATGGTAATCAGCTCCATAGACATCCAATATTAAGCAGTAAATAATACTGGTCGAGAGGCTCCTAAAGAACACCACAGGGAAAAGGCAGCAGCTCAGATACAGTCATTGACTACTACTAGATATGAATGACCACAAACATATGATTTCAGAAATGACAATGTAGTATCCCTAAGGCCAAAGCTAAACAGGTCACTTTTCACTAATGCATGATCAATAGTATCAAATGCAGCAGTAGACCCAGCAATATTAGCAGTGATGCATTTCCTAAACAAATCATTGTAAATTTTACACATAACATCAGTTGAATGCAATGGTCAGTATGCAGACAGAACACAATAAAACACAATTTTTCCTAAGAAAAGGAAACAGTTGATCTAGAATTGCATATTCAGTCAGTTCAGTAAGATATGTAAGATTTGAAGCATGACAATAGTCTGACATGTTTTCCAAATCAAGAGGGTAGGCAGAAGGTATGGGAAGGCATAATTCCAGCATAGCATATGCAAGAGCAATAGTTTGCATGTGGCCAGCAGTAACAGCATAGTTGATCAGACCCTGATCTACCATGAGGCCTGGTCTCAGACCAAGCCATGGGGGCACTGACCTCTGAAACCCTCTCCAGGTAGCAATTTGCATTGTTTACCTTAGTATCTTGCTCATCACATGAAGCTTGCAATAACACCATGTGGCTTAACACTCGTCTGATCTTTCTCTCACTCATTATTAGCAAACACTACCATATAGGTCAGATGTATTTTTACAATCTTGAATAGATATACAGGTATTATCGACTGAAAATTCTAGAGAAATATGCAAAAATGCAAGATATTTTATTGAGAAGCTCTAAAACTCTGGATTAACTCTTCTGTGTCTTATCAAGCTTCACCATGTAGGTGTAATATCACACTTCATTGAGGAAATGTACCTGTTATATTATTATTCATC